AATCTTTGACAAAGCAGACAAAAACATACACTGGGGGAAATAATTCTCATTCAATAAATGGTGCTGGGAAAATTGGATAGCCACATGTAGAAGACTGAAACAGAATCCATACCTATCACCTCTCACAAAAATCAACTCATGATGGATAACAGACTTAAACTTAAGGCATGAAACTGTAAGAATTCTAGAAGAAAATCTTGGAAAAATTCCTACAACATTGGCATAGGCAAAAAAAATTATGAAGAACACCCAAAAGGCAATCACAGCAACAACAAAAATAAATAAATGGGACCCAATCAAATTAAAAAGCTTGCAGAGCCAAGGAAACTATCTTGAGAGCAAACAGACAACCTACAGAATGGAAGAAAATATTTGCATGCTACACATCTGATAAAGCGCTGATAATTAGAATCTATATAAAAACACAGGAAATTCAGCAAGAAAAAAATTAATCAACCCCATCAAAAAGTTGGTAAAGGACATGAACAGAAACTTTTCTAAAAAAGTAGACTAATGGCCAACAAACATATGAAAAAATGTTCCACATCTCTAATCATCAGGGAAATGCAAATCAAAACCACAATGAGATATCATTTATCTCCATTGAGAATGGCCTTTCTAGAAAAGTCCCCAAACAATAAATGTTGGCATGGATGCGGAGAAATAGGAACACTTACACATTGCTGGTGGGACTTCAAACTAGTACAACCTGTGTGAAAAGTAACATGAAGATACCTCAAAGAGATACAAGTAGAACCAGCATTTGATCCAGCAATTCCATGGGCTGAGCATCTGCCCAAAGGAACATAAGATATTCTATAAAAAGACATCTGCTCTCGAATGTTTATAGCAGCACAATTCACAATTGCAAAGATGTAGAAACAACCCAAGTGCCCATCAATACATGAGTGGATTAATAAACTGTGGTATGTGTATACCATGGAGTTCTACTTAGCCACAAAAAACAATGGAAACATAGCACCTCTTCTATTATCCTGGAAAAAGCTGGAGCCCATCCTACTAAGTGAAATATCACAAAAATGGAAAAACAAGCATCATATGTACTCACCATCAAATTGGTATTAACTGACTTAACTGACCAATGCTTAATTGCACATATAGTTGGGTGTCGAGCAGGTGGAAGAACGGAGGAGGGGATGGGGATATTCACACCTAATGGGTGCGGTGTGCATGGTCTGGGGGATGGACATGCTTGACTCAGGTGGGGAAAGGAAATATATGTAACCTGAACATTTGTGCCCCCATAATATGTTGAAACAAAAAAGGAAAATAATATATGGACTGTAGCTTCTAAGCTATTGTAGATCCAGCAAGGTCAAGCTGGCAAATGGAGAAAGAAGAGAGTAAAGGATCACCCAGGAGACTATCAGAAGACAATTCTGGAAGTATAATGTAAAATTTCTGACCATATTTTATTAGCCAAGATTCAGGCACATCAACCTGCAAAAGGAAAAGATGGGCTAAAAATTGTTATTCTTGACCCTGTGACTGCTTGATATAATTGACCTACAATGAAGAAAGCAATGCACAAACCTTTGAAAGGCTGCTAGCCTGTCAGAGTTTGATTGACAGACATCTCCCAGTGTATCTACCGATCCTTTACTCCAAGTTTAAAACATGAAACAGAAACTATTGGAAAAATATGAGACATTGTGTCATTTTTTTCTCTGTAGTTAGACTCCTACTTAAGGAGATATGATTAATATAATCCAACATGACTGGAAAATCTTCCCTCATTCAAATGGGTGTTGTTCTTGACCTGACCAGAATAGTGACCTCCCCCTAAAATTCCAAAGCTTCTTTTATGTTTCTCTATCAACACAGAGACAAAACATCAGTGTAGCAAGCACCAGAGTGAGCTAGAGAGAAGCTAAGTCTTGCAGAATACATTATATTTTAGATGTGCTGCCACACAGAACTGCTGCTATATATGAAACCAGAGACAAGATAAATTATGATAGTATGGCACCTGGGGAATATTTGTTTGATTTTTTCTCTTCCTTTTCTTCTTTCCTGCCCTCTTCCTTCTTCCTCCCTCCTCTTTATTCTTCTCTTCCTTCCTTGCTTTTTCTCTCTTCTCTTCATTCTTTTTCTTCCTTTTCATATCAGTGTACCAGATAAAAAGGGTAGGAAATTATAGTACACCTTGTGAGCCTTAATGAAATAGGTATACTAGCTAGAAACTAAGAGTTTGAAAACTATATTAATATGCCAAGAAGATATACATTTCATATAGATTGAGCATTTTAGGGTAATTGATGCTAGTCACACTAAAAAAAAGTAATAACAGGCCGGGTGTGGTGGCTCACGCCTGTAATCCTAGCACTCTGGGAAGCCGAGGTGGGTGGATTGCTCGAGGTCAGGAGTTTGAAACCAGCCTGAGCAAGAGCGAGACCCCGTCTCTACAATATAAATAGAAAGAAATTAATTGGCCAACTAATACATATAGGCTGATGCCACGGCACTCACTCTAGCCTGGGCAACAAAGTGAGACTCTGTCTCAAAAAAAAAAGTAATAACAACTCCAAAATGTCAGGGGATTATAACAATAAAATGTTGTTCTTTCTTTCTTCCTCTTGTACAGAGGATATTCTGGGACAGAAGAATGAGCATCACTTTAAAAGATAGAATTCACATTATGGGCAATTCAAAATGCTTTTGCATTCTCAGAAAATTTAGCACGTTCAGGGATGATACAGGAAAACATCAGGAACATAACAAAGAACAAATAAGTAAATAGAATCAAAAGACATCTTTAAAATTATACAATTGCACAAAAAAGTAACAATAAAAATACCCTGAAATTAAATAGAAAAAAAAATACTTTTGAAAATAAGTACCCACAGGTATAGAAATTTTAAAATCCTAGAAATTGTAAATCGCATCCAATGATATATGTTATAAGATGTTGTGGCCTCAGTAATGAGAAAATTAGGGAAGTAAAGAGCATGTAAAGACACAAAGGAATCAGAATAATTTGACAAATAAACAAATAAATAAGAAAACAGGATGAGGTGTGTCTTTTATGGATGAGAAGAGGAAAGCCTGAACAAAAACAAGTGAGATTTTAGTCAATTTAAAGTTACATTTTAAGTAATAATACTGATATTAATCATTATTGGAGCATTTTCATTAAACAAATTACTATGTATTACCGTGTTTCCCCGAAAATAAGACAGGGTCTTATATTTAGTTTTCCTCAAGAAGTAAGCCTAGGGCTTATTTTCAGGGGATGTGTTATTTTCCCCTCAAAGCCTCAGCTTGCAGCATGCACAGGATGGCCAGGACCTGACAGGGGGAGCCGACCTTGGTGGGGCTGCCCACACCTTTCCAGTCACCTCTAGGATAGTTAGCTGTCACGATGGGGAACATGAGAAGGGCAGCTTGTTTTCTTTACTGCTCTGCGACGAAATGCATGGGTTGTGCAGATATGCTGGGTAGCCACGCCCATCACTAGGTCCTATTTTCGAAGTAGGGCTTATATTGCGCAAATGCTTAGAAATCCTGCCAGGGCTTATTTTATGGGTAGGTCTTATTTTTGGGGAAACACGGTATATACGAGTTACATTTTATGCACTATATAGTTAAATCTGCCCAGGATATGGTATTTGTAGGGTATATCTATTCTATTTTATTATCTATCATCATAGTACTCACTGTCAGGCAAAGACAGACTGAGAACTGTAACAGATTGGATGAGTCAAAGGAGCCACGGCAACTTAATGCTAAGTAAGATACTGAACTGGATCTTGGAACAGTAAGATGACTTTAGTGAAAATGCTGGAGAAACCCAAATGAAATCCATAGTTTAGCAACATGTAACACTGTTAATTAACATGAAATTATTAGCTAAGATTTTAACATCAAGGGAAGCTGGGTGTAAGTTATTCAGAATTTTCTGTACTATTTTTGCAATGCTCTGTCAGTTTAAAATGATTTCAAAAATCAAACAAATATATTATGAAAAATCAGCATAGACTTTATCGTCCTTTTTGTCAGTGATTTTTCAACCTGTTTTTCTAATGGAGGAATTTAGGCAGGATCAGTCTCTCTGTTACTTCAGCTTTCTATGTGGTGTGATCTCCATCTGGCTGCAATCCTGGTCTTTCTGCCTCCATTTGACATATGTGGGCGCAGATATGAAGCCTGAATAGCTCAGCCCTTCTCTTTTTGCCTTTGGGTTGCAACTGCCCTTCGTAAGTATGCACTCTGCACTCCACACTGCTTCTCCATGCTATAGAATTTACCTGGAATGGCCCATGTGGAGAGATCTGAAGTTATCTAGTGCTGTCTGTGACAAACTGAATAGCAGAGTGTAGTTTGAGGTTCAAACCATCATCATCATCATAAGAGCCATTTTTCTACTGTGCATCAAAGTCAGTTTCTCCACTAACATTTTTAATAATATAAATGGTCATTTGATCTCTATGACTGTTCTTTTAACTTTCTCAACTGATTGAAAATTCAGGCTAGGAAAAAAAATAAACATGTCATGTAAGATCTAGTATAGGGTAATAGTTAAGAGATTAAATTCTGGAAACATATTTCCCAGCTTTTGTACTTCTAAACTTCTGTTTTTTACTGGGTATGTGACCCTGGGTAAATTATTTAACTTTAATTTCTTACATGTAAAATGTGGTAATAACCATTTCTTTTTTACAGAGTTTTTTCAGAATTAAATTATCTCTCTATCTGGTACATAGGACAGTGTTTAGCACCTGGAAAGTATTATATAAGTATCGGCTACTAGATAAGTATTTGCTGTATGTGTGTGTGTGTAATTTGCTCTTCTCAATTTTCTTGATTAAGATTCTACATAAATTTTTCTTGAATATAAAGGGATTGTTAGTCAAATAGACACACATTGATGGATATGAATTAAAATTAATCAATTCATTAATAACATTTCTCCACATGAAGAAAATACATATGTTGTCTGATGTCATATAATCCATAGAACACATACTAAAATTGAGTGCAGATGAAAAAACATAAAACTGATTATGCAGATGAAACACAATATAATATCTTAGAATCAATAAAACATTAGTATAGTGATGAAGCACTCAGGACTTAGACATCTTGGGTTAAAATCTTGTCCTGATAGACAGTTGTGCAAGATCTTTAGCTTCCTGTTCCTAAGTTTTCTTATTTGTAAAACATACAGTCATACTCAGTTTGAATCTTTATCATTAGAATTAAGTGAGAACATCTGAAAGAGAGAGAGAGAGTGTGTGTGTTAATATTAGCAGGGATAAATCACTTTATGCTAGGACAGAAAAGTTAAGAATGTAATCAAATATTCTTAAAGCATAAATAATAAAAATACCTTTATTCTGATTATTTTATAAGTGCAATTCTCTTGGTGTTTCAAATAATATCACACTATTTACCAAGATTAAGCAGAACTGAGTTATTTGTGTGGATAATACTTCCCATGACTAATCATCACAAATGCAACTGATTATTGCTATGAGATATGTTGCAATTGAATTAGACTTAAATGTTTACATTTAACATCTACCTTACATAGTTAAGTCAACTGAGAAATGTGTATCTTAATACCTACAATACTTCTTAGAACAGAGTTGTTTAATGAAGTCTTTGTGAATTTCACATAATTGTTAGGTGGAAGAACAGTGTGAATTTTCTAATGACTTTTCAGTTATAAATTAAAGTGATAGAAATATGACATTGAAATGATTATACTGAGACTGTACATTCTGATGCCAATGTTACCTCCAATAGATTATGACACTGATGATTTTTAATCATTTGGTGAAAAGAGAAAGAAGAAAACTTTCCTCTTTCACCTTGAAAATGAAATTGTGATTAAAAACTGATTATCCAACTATAACTACAGAATCAATCATTTTTAACACATGCTTTCAGGAGAAATTAAATTAATATTGCAAAAGAGAAATATGAAAACAGCCCAATGGTTACTATTGGATAGAAAATATCAGGAGACCATGCCAGTTTTTTTCATTAAGTTAGTCTCATGTGTCGACCTTTTGTGTCAGGACACATATAATCACTATTGCTAAACAGTGGAGATCATTATTGTCTGTTAGGGTAACACATGCTGCTGCTGAAAGAAATAATGTCAAATCTCAGTGGCATAAATAGCAATAATTTTTTTCTCAGTCAACATATCATTTTAGATGTCTTTCTTGGAAAGTTTTCCTAAAAGTGGCAACTCCTTCAAAGTGCTAAATTAATTTGTGTGGCTATGCCATAATCTGGCCCTTCTTTAAGCCCAGGAGGACTGAAGGGAAGGAAAGATCCTGTGATCTCTAGGAGATCTTAGGTATCAGGGCTAGACTTAGCTGGAATTAGTGTATAAACCTCTACTCTTACCCAAATGTCTGGAACTAATAAGTCTCCAACTTCACTACAAAGAAGGCTGGGAAATGTAGTCTCCTGCATTTCCTGGGAGAACTTCCTGTTAGACCAAGTAGAAGAAATGGGATTGTTGGAGATCTAGCCAATCATCAGTTCATTATACAATGATAATACATGCCCCAAATATTTTTATAATTTATTATGCTATTAAATTATTTGAAAATATAACTATCAGTCATATATTCTGTGAATATATTTTATTTGTCTTAGGGTTTAGATGTATAATGAAGGTCTTAAAACATTAAAATATTAGGAAACCCAATTTGCCCCTGGCTCAGGCCTTCCTTATATTTGTTCATGCTTTCATTGTCATCTTAACCTTCAAATCTAACTCATTTTTTTCCCTCTGAATCTCATTGATCTCCTGAGCCTTCCTTCTACCTTCAATACCATTTGTAAAGTAACCAGCCCTTCAGGATCACCTTTTTTGATGGCACCTGTGAAAGAATATTTCGTTTCTTAAAATGTAGATTTGTATACTCCTCGTTTTTAATGCCCCCATTAGAATCTTTTTTATTAATTAGACTCGGAATTGAGTAATGTCAAAATATTTTTTCTTTTTCCTTAATTTTCATGTGCTTTTAAAGGAATTAATTCTCTGTTATCAAATAGCTTTAGCTGCAGAATGTTTTATTAGTCAGAAAGACTAACTTTTTAAGTTTAAAAAATAGATCATCAAAATTGCCATATTTTTTATTTCTCTACAAGCAAATTTCAATCTACGTTTTTGACAGGAAGTTATTAGATAGCAACTACTTTTCAAGTAACTTCACATTGATTCATTGTTCTACAAATAATACATTTGTTGAAAACATTGTTCTTAAAAAGGAGGCTTAAAATTATATTTCATCATTCATAAAGCTACTGGGTAGTAGCATTTGGAAACTATGCATTTTATCCTTTCTGTCTAATAATGAGTCTTCAAAGAACTCTTAGAGATTTTATCAAATTTAATATTAACAGTAGCCAGAAGGAAAGTTTTATAGAAAGTCTTATAAGTTCAATAGAAAATATTCTTTGATCCTGGTAAACTGTTTTGTTTTGTTTTTTTCCCCCAATGTGTACAGCATGTCTTTCCATATTTCTCTTCTGACTTTAAATAAATAATTTTCCTCTTTCATCAGAGAAATTTTTATATTTCATGTATGTGCATGTATATACATTTTGTTGGATTTGTTCTTCCTTTATGTAGTTTTTGAGATCTAACTCAGTTCTTAGCATCTCTTTCAGAAGTTTTGAGTACTTCAATTAATATTTCCCTTAATTTATCATGATTCTAATTCTTGACTGCCTCTGTAGTTGCTTATTTCAAACAATATATTAATATCAAAGTTATTGACAGAAAATGATTTTATTAGAACACCAATCAGATTATATTAGGGCCAACACATGGCCTTATTTCAACTTAATACCTTCTTTAAAGGCTCTATCTCCAAATACAGTCACATTCTGATGTATTGGAGGTTAAGATTTAACATTTATTTTGGGCAAACACAATTCAGCCTGTTACATGAAATATGATGGAAAAATAGAGAATCTATGTAAATAGCTGAGATATGCTGACAGTGTATGCATGCACCAGCTAAGGTAGGCAGGCTGGCAGGTGACGTGAGTACAGAGCAATTGGCCTGTAGGCAAAGTGTGTAGGCAGGTGCCTCCAGGCATTCTGAGGCACCCAGATACCTATGGCTGCTGGAGTGTCACCCAAGTTCAGATTGAAAGCAGCAGATGTGGGAGAGGAGAAGCTCGGCATGCCAGCAGTTCTGGGACCTTCTGTCCCTGGAGTACATGTACATCATGACTTCACAAATATTAACTCTGGTCTAAGTGCAAAGACAAGGACTTCCATGCTCAAGCATTAAATGTTGTCAGTTACTACCAAATAAAAGCATCTATAAGTAATTACTACATGTCTTCAACAAATGTAGAAATTGGTTTTAAAAGCTGCTACAACAGTGGAAAGAAAACTTCTACAGGCTTAGAGATACAAATTAAATTTACAGATCATCAAGTTAAACAGAAAAAAACACTGTCTTCATATACTACTTTAGATGAACAAATAACTGAAGAAAAAGACAGTCTAAAATTAAGTTTTCCTTGTGATTGAAGATATAGTGATAAAATGTACCAATTGGCATTTTGAATTGTATACAGGTCAGGAAGTCACTTTTGATTTCTTGTGCAACCCCCACAGGTTACAGGAAACATCAGAGAAAACATTAAAATGGCAATGTATAAATTTATTTAAAATTAAGTTCAGATACATGAAACCAATATGTATAAAGAATTAATTCTTTTAAGAAAAATTGTCCCACAAGAATCATCAGCTATAGATGTACTAAAGTTTATATTTCAAAATAATTTATCAGAATTTATGTATATATTATCACTACATATATAATACTCTTAACAGCTCCAGGAAAGATTAATCAGCAGAAAGATCTTTCTCATAGTAAAACATTATCAAAGATTGCTTACAATCTTCCATTTGCGAAGAGTAACTGATGTCCCCTTTCATTTGTATTAGTTTAAAATAAAATTGCTAAAAATGTAAATTCTGATGAGCTGATTAGTGAATTTTCAGAAAAGCAGAAAAAATCTTAAGATAAATTGAGCTATCACATTAATAAAATATTGTTCCATATATTATAAAAATTATGACACAAAAATCAGTATTAATTTTCAATTAGTAAGTCTAAGTTGTTATTCATGTATAACTCTTATTCTTACTACATTTTACAGACATAAAATATTTTTAAATAAAAACTTTATATTGTAATACCTTTAAGGGATCTTTTTTTATAAAAGCTGAACAACAGAAGCTGAATTTTCATTTTGCACTGGGACCCACAAATTATGGATCTGCCCCTGGTGGGAGTATTAGATAATAATGAATACAAAGAGATTATAAACAACTATTTTAAGGTGTTTCTTTCTATAATAGGTAGCATGGAAATGGACAAAGCAATGGAGCAGAGAAATGGGAAGGAACAAAACATCAAGGGATAATGGGGTTAGAGGGGAAGGAGGTGGTACAGGGGAGTGTGTTATTTTAAGCTGGGACCTTAGAGAACAGGTTTGTGGTGTTTGGAGAGTGATCCAGTGGAGAAGGAGAAACCATTGTTGTAAGACAGAGAGACGATGGCACAGATAAAATATATACAAAGCAAGATATGAAGAGATCCAGATCATAGATAGAGGAGCTGGTCATTTCCCAGAAGGTATGCCTCTTGGGGTAGATAATAACTACCCATAAGTTAGTAACTGTTGAATCTGAATCTTTTGGGGGCCCCTAAGTGCCACATCCTCTGCCAGAGCCTAACTTAGCCTTAAGGAGAATGATGGTGAAAGCTAGCTCCCAAACCTTGAGCCTAGCAGGTTCAATCAACCACAGCAACCTTTCTAGGGAGAAAAATGGTGAGATTTCCTTTGGTGGGTTGTATGCAGTATGTGCTACAGCTCATGCTTGCTTGTAGCAGCCAATGAGAGTAGACTATTGATTGTGAAAAATTTTGCAGACTGGTTTTTAAAAAGTAACATTATTAAAAATTTTAATAAAAAATGGAAAATAACAAGTACAAAAGAAGATGTGGACAAATTGGAACCATCATACATTGCTGGTTGAAATGTAAAATGGTGCAGCCACTGCATAAAACTGTTCAACAGTTTGTTATGAAGCTAACTACAGAATCACCATATGGCCCAACAATTCTACTCCTAAGTGTACTTCTCAGAGAATTGAAAATATATGTTCACACAAAAACTTGTACACAAATGTTCTCAAGAGTATTATTATACCTAAAAGGTGAAAATAACTGAAATGCCCATTACCTGATGAATGGATAATAGTAGAATGTAGTAAAATGATATTAGTAAAATGTAGAATAGTTATATAATGTTATTTGGTCATAAAAAGAAATGAAAAGCTGGTATGTGCTGCAACATGGATGAATCTTGAAAAAAAAAACAAAGTAAAGAAGTCAGACACAAGAGGCCACATATTGCATGTTTCTGGTCATATGAGTTATCCAGAATTGGGAAATCCATAGACAAAAACTTGATTAGTGTTTGCCAGTGGATGAGATTGTAAGAATGGGAAGTCACTGCTAATGGATATCGAGTTTCTTTTTGGGGTGATGTAAATGTTCTGAAACGATGTAACTGATATTTGTACAAGTTATTAAATGTACTAGAAACCACTGAATTGCACACTTAAAAATGGTGACTTTTATGACATGTGACATCTTAATAAAAAATTGTCATATGAACTTACAATTAAATAAGTTATATTTTAAATAAAAGGAATAAATACCACCAACCAGCAAACTCCTTAAAAAGAGGCTCAGGGACACTTTATTTATTGTCACAGAATTGAAGAAAGAGATTTTAGGGAACAAGGCAAATGACAAAGCAAGTTTGACAACAGGTATATGAAAGAAAGAAAAGCTATGTCTATTCAAGAGTGGATTAACAACATGTGCACCATCTGAAAGATGGTCATGCTGGAAACTCAGACTTGTGGGGGGAGGGGGGAAGGGCATTTATTGAAACCTTAAAATCTGTACCCCCATAATATACCGAAATAAAAAAAAAACTTTTAAAAAAAAAAGAGTGGATTAACAAAATGTTTTGTATATATAAATATATATCATGGAGTACTACTCAGCCATGAAAAAGAATAAAATAATGTCTTTTGCAGGAATTTAGATAGAACTGGAGACCATTATCCAAAGTAAAGTTATCTTGGGAATGAAAAAATAAACACCACATGCACTAATAATTTGAAACCAATCAATGGGCACACATGGGCAAAGAAAGAAGTAAAAGTCATTGGAAATCAAGAAAGAGAGAGGGGGATGGAAGGGAGAGGTGTAAACCTACCTAACAGGTACAATGAACAATATTCAGGTGATACGCACACTTATAGTTCTGTCTAAAGCATTACAAAGCTATGCACGTAACAAAAACCTTTGTACCCCCTTAATATTTTTAAATTAAAGAAAAAAAAAGAGAAAAGTTATGTCTTTCCCGGGGACAATA